TGTTTTGTGTTTGTGATATCTGGTGTTTTATGGGGGAAAGTTATGTGTTTTGTGTTTTTGATATCTGGTGTTTTATAGGGGAAAGCTATGTGTTTAATATTTTTTATATCTAGTGTTTTAGAGGGGAAAGTTATGTGTTTTGTGTTTGTGATATCTGGTGTTTTATAGGGGGAGGGGGGGGTTGTGTATTTTGACAGTGTGTAAGCTCTGACATGGGAATTTATAAAAATAGAAAAAGAGGTATACATCTGGTTTTGTTTTAGTAACAGTTTTACAGCACTTGCAACACAATAAGGTCATATAAGTGCAGAAGATTAGAAGTGTTACAAGAGAGTAACAAACACAAAAAAGGAGGAGAGATAAGGATGATAGATGTTTGATAAGAAAGGAGCAGACATCAGAGCACGCGCCAACCACCCGCGAGGTATACTTGTAAGTTACTTTATTTATGCAGGTGTGCAACTGTCGAAAGTATAAATATTATATTTTATTAATGTCTTGGCTTTTTTTCATTTCAGAGACCAACTTGAAAAAGCAAGGTTTGCTGCCATTGACCTTCTCTGACCCCGCAGACTACGACAAAATTCAGCCCACTGACCGCATCTCATTGGTCGGCCTGAAAGAACTTACTCCTGGGAAGGTCAGTTGTAGAATCATTATTGTCCTGCCAAAAGATGTACTTCACATTTGTCTCGTAATCAGAACGATTGTATGAATTTCTTATAAATTAGCTGGATTCGAACCTCATTATGCTTTAAAAACATTTCACCATATATTATGTTGGGCAAGTTTCATCATATCATAAAAGCCGAGGTGTATTATTTTAATCCATTGTCTTGAAGTTGCCAAAAAGTGTTTGCATTTCACATGAGTGTTAGTTCTTGGTTCTTGATATTGGGATATAAATTTACGAGGCGGTATCTAAGATACATTCATAGGACCTCTGGCACCCTAGAACTCTGCTGATTCCAACACTGAATTTGTTTTTGAAAAAAAAAAAAAAAGGAGCCACTTGCTCATAACACTGAAACAAATTTTCACACCCATTGTATGTTTCTGTGAGTTGACTGGTGTGTTTTGTGTCGTGTGTTTTGTGTTGAGCTGACGGATGTGTTTTTTTAATGGTGTGTTGAGCTGACTCGTGTGTTTTGTGTGAGCTGACTGGTGTGTTTTTGTATTGTGTGTTTTGTATGAGCTGACTGGTGTGTTTTTGTATTTTTGTGTTGAGCTGACTGGTGTGTTGTGTGTGTTAAGCTGACTGGTGTGTTGTGTGTGTTAAGCTGACTGGTGTGTTGTGTGTGTTAAGCTGACTGGTGTGTTGTGTGTGTTAAGCTGACTGGTGTGTTGTGTGTGTTAAGCTGACTGGTGTGTTTTTGTTTTGTGTGTTTTGTATGAGCTGACTGGTGTGTTTTTGTACTGTGTGTTTTGTATGAGCCGACTGGTGTGTTTTTGTATTTGTGTGTTGAGCTGACTGGTGTGTTGTGTGTTGAGCTGACTGGTGTGTTGTAGGTTGAGCTGACTGGTGTGTTTTGTGCGTGTATCTGCAGCCCGTGGAGTGCCACATCAAGCATCAAGACGGCAGCGTGGACAAAATCCAGCTGAAGCACACGATGAACGAGGGACAGATCACCTGGTTCCGTGCTGGCAGCGCGCTCAACAGAATGGCAGAAGTTGCTGGGAAATGAAGAGACAATTTGAAATTTAATGTAGAACAAATACTGGAAACTTAGCACATCTTTCAATGCATTGTAGGAATGCCGCGTAGGTAATGGATCTCACTTAATATTTAGGTGATTAGGTGTTGAGAACGTGGGAAACAATTCTTTCTGATAAATTTCAGTTTGATTTGGAAACATCTGCTGTCTTTTTTTTTGGTGAGTTTTTTTCTCTGCTGAATTGTGAATGGCTTTGTTTGATCTCAGAGATCAATCAATGGATAACTCTACCTCTTTGATAAGGAAGGGACAGTTGCGCTTCGTACTTGATATTTGGGCTGACAGCATAATGTGTCCTGTCGAATGTGACTCGATGATCTAGGTAATATGTGACTACATACTTCGTGTTTCGTGTCATGTTTCTGTGTTTAATGGTTGTGTCTTTAGTTCGCGGATGATTTAACAAAGACCCATAATATATGTTATACTTACCATGAAGTATTTGGAACTAGTACGCTCATTTATCTTTTCACTTTTCAATGCTTTTATTTCCTCTCTGGTCTCACTTATAATAAGCCGTAGTTTAGTGTTGTAAAGTATATTATAACATAGAGTGTGGATTAAATAGTTTTCTCTTCCAGATTGTGTGATCTTAACCTGTTCACAAAAGTGTTTACGAAAGATAAGTTGGTTCTCCTGCTGTTGGCATTATGGTTTTTTTAATCAAATGTGCCATAATCATGAGGTGGAGCCACTCTGGTCTTTATACAAGCCCTGCAGCAGTTTTACGACTCAAATGTTGACACACGCACCAAATACAATACATAGATTTAACCTGGAGACGAGATGTTATGTTCGGTATACTTATAATTTTTAATGTTATGCTCGTTTGTCCTTTTTCAAGACGATGGGCCACATTGTGTATAGAAAGGATGTTGGAAGCCATTCACACGCCTGCTTACTTAATGAATCTATCGTGGAAATACAACTGGCTGTTTCCCAAAGTTTTGCAATATATAGTGCTGTACGATACATTGATACATATCCAGAGTTGAGTTGTCTTCATCACTATTCTCTTGTTTTTTGCACAAGTGTGCTTTATTTTTTAAGATTTATCTACCGTCAGGATATTGGGAAAACAAAACTATTGTGTAAATAACTGATGAGTGAAATAGTCCTTGATTGAGTAGAGTTAACAGCAGAATCATGTCTTCATGCTCTCGAGTCCCTCGTCCACGATCTACTAAGACACGTCATGTACTTATATAAGTTGCACGACTTGTTGTTTTTTTCAGCTCATCATTTTCGTGAATCTCAAGAGTATACTCCCTATCCCCCCTCAAAAGCTGTAGTCCGGTTGACTTTGCTTAGATTTAGCTTGGTATGTGCATGGAGTGGATTGTGAGAGACTCGGTGTATGGAAGAGCGTCGCTGTTAAACTGATTGTGTGTTTGATTTTTAAGGTATGTCTTAAAAATAAAAGTCACTGTGATAAAATTTATAGTGTTTTTGTTCAGTATCATTTTACAGTTTTACCAGGTACCTTTATTATTATAAGTAAGAGACTAGCTGGGCCCCCTTTCAATGAAAAGAATGGTCGGTGCCTTAACATCAACTGAAAGTCATTGGCTTACTACATTTACTCTCTACTGGAATGGAGCAATAAATCTTGAGAGAAAAGTGACACAAGTGTTCCCAAGTTGCCAAATATATATATAGATTGATTCTCTATTTCGCTTTCGTGGTTGTACTCAATGGACAAGAAATTTCCTGTCACAGCTTGGAGAAACTATTCGTTATACGGTCACTTTTAAGCTCAAGGGGGCTTTCCCGAAAAATAGTTTTGAAAAAATCGAAGGTAAAGTTTTTGGATCCTTGTTCAGTTTCTTTAAACTATAACCAAACAAATATACACACCAATGAAACCAAACTTGAGCTATAGGCAGGGTAATGCCCACTTTTGATGTAGATCAAGATTTCTGGAAACCGCCGAAATCTGGGTTAACCCGCTTGTCCTTAAAAGCGACCGTACTTTTGTTGAATCACTGTACCGATGTCTGTGGTGTAGTGATTAGGCCGTTTGCCATCGCATGCAGGAGGCATGGGTTCAATTCTCATGTGGGAAGAATCTTTATTATCTCTGTTTTCTACTGGGACATGATACTTCTCATCCCGGGCTGGCCCTGACAGGCAAGGTCGAAGCAGCCTGTCTCCTAAATTTTCTAGTGTCGATGGAGGTGAAACTTCTAGTTTTAAGTTATATTTTTTTACATATATCATTGCTGCAGGATTCTAAATGGCTAACTCTATTTCTGTAAATTTTACAGACAGGAGAGTGAAAATGTGAAAAAGCAAGGCTATTATACACTCACACATTTTAACTGTTCAGAATCCAACATTGTAGTGACTATTTGGATTGGTTAATCTGGCTGAAAGTTATTTCCAGGAAATGTGTGATTTCAGTCAGAATTCAGGGAAAAAACCAAGAGCTGCGTTTTCTGAATTAGCTGTTTAGAATCCTGTAGCGGAGATATTTATCACTGCTGTGTGTGTCCTTCACAAGAAGAATATTTTTAAAGTTAGTTTCAGTAAGAGTTTTACGCCACTTGCAACACAATAAGGTCAAATAAGTGCCGAAGACTAGAGGTGTTATAAGTGTAACAAACACAAAAAAGAAGGAGGGGAGATTTATAAAGATGATAGATGTTTGATAGGAAAGAAGAAGCCACCAGAGCACACGCCAACCACCCACGAAGAATATTTGACCAGGCTGACTTGGACAAAGTATGTATAATTGTTTTATTGTTGTTTATTTTTGTAAGGTTTTATGGCCCCTTCCCCTCCTTTGCCCCCTCCTCTGGGCTCCTGACTCTTTCTGCAGCCTTTCTACTGCTCCTCCTTACTGCTGGCTTTCTGCCACACCCCTGATCTTCTGGTAGGAAAGATCTACACCTAGCCGTCTCGGACAAGGGCGAAAAATCTCGGAGGGCGCGTGTGCAAGTTGCGCACGTTAAAGATCCCACTGAAAATATTAGGTGTGTCCCGCGGGCTCATATGACCTTATGCAGTTGCGAGCGCGTAAAACACTTACCAAAAAATTTTTTAAAAATAAAGGTTTTACGGCGCCCGCAACTGCATAAGGTCCTATAAGCGCCAAGGGGTGGTCGGTGGATGTCAACAGAGAAGTCCAAATGTAAAGTATGTGAAAATTAATAGAAGCACCATAAGAAAACAACAACAAAAACCAAGCTCTCTGGAAGAAGACTTTCTAAACTTTATTTACAAGTAGATTTTATTAATGCATTGACACAATGAGTATGAGCACACTATTGAGTAAGCGCAATAACCAAATTGACTTCTCGCTAGTACTTGTAACAGAACACATACATTAACCAAATTGAAATAGGACATCAATTCTGGCAAAAAGCAATAATTACAACGTACATTGAGAGCAGTTACATGAATACTTTGTATTTGCTGTGCGCGCACACAGACACACACACACACATCCGTCCATCCATCCGTCCATGCATACATGCATACATACATACATCCATCCATCCATCCATCCGTCCGTCCATACATACATACATACATACATACATATATAGTGTCATGACGAAGGGGAATCAGACTCTCGTCAATTTTTGGGCATACAGAGTTATTGGTATCATTTTAAAGCTACCACTGTTTAGAAATATTTTCAGCAGGTCATATACGTGTATGTGTCACTGCAGTTTTGTTGGTCATGGAATGGCCCTTTTATCATCCCCCCCCCCCCCAGCATGCTTAAACTATGGGAGAAGAAAACTCCCTTTCACAGTACAGCCACTTAAACGAAAGAAAAGCCCTTACCAGTAACACACTTCATGTTGTTGTTTTTTTACTGTGCATGGTAACCAGTTAGTTCAGAAATCAATAGTGAGGCAGGCAGCGTGGTGAAATCAGGCGCTTGTCAAAATAATGAAAGTCAAGAAATTGGCATTTTCCCGCAGGTTTGGGAATTTTTATCGAATTTTTGTTTTTCAGTTCAACACGTTTCATGCCCACTACAGAGCACATTTCTGTGAGGATTTTATTGAAAAATGTTGATTAAAGGCAGAAGAAATGTACATTTTCAGTTTCCATGGACTCTCAAGCTAAAGAAACAACTCAACTTTGGCGGCCATTTTCTCGCTAACTTTACCTCTGAAACGAGATGACCCTCACCTCCTTCAATCACACCTATATCTCGACTTCTATTTAACATAGATAGATAATATTTTCACCCAAAAACAAGGAAAATGGACAGGCTTTAAGATGATACCATCAACTCTGTATGCCCAAAAACTGACGAGAGCCTGATTCCACCCCGTCGTGCCACATAACAAGTCCTCGAATCAGTAGACCTACTGTCCTCACATATGTGTCATGACAGATGTGTGGCATTGGTGGAGTAGTTGTTAAGGCTGTTGGGCCTGTGACTGAAAGGTCATGGGCTCGAACCCTGCTAAGGGACCGACATTGTGTCATTGAGTACTTAAAGACACTTAACACAAACTTTCCTCACTTCACCCAGGTGGGAATGAGTACCCAACTATAGACCGCTTTAGATCTTTTCTGTGAATGTTATAGCACTTAATCAGCTGCTTGCACTGTATGCTTCCCAGAAGCCATAAATGTTTCTGGGTGTTCTTTAGTTTTAGTAAGGTTTCACTGCGCTCGCAACTGCACAAGGTCAAATGAGCGCCAAGGGGTGGGTGTGAACAGAAAAGTTCTAGAGTCTGCTGGGATGATAATAGTTGTAATGCACAGAGAGCATGCTGTATAGCATGGATATACGCTCTATTATTATTACATTATTACAGATTACATTAAGACAAGAAAAGAAAGAACAAAACATGGATATGCATCAAAAGACCAACAAAAACATGACCTTTTTGACTGAGGAAAATGTACACATGTCAATCCTTTGCTTTGATACAGATTTTTGTGGAGATCTCCTGATACATAATTTAATTATACAAACAGATGAAGACGTACTGCTACTAGTGCTAGTATTACTATTAGGAAAAGACATATGTTGAATTTTATTCTAAGAGTGATATTTTGAAAGTATGCTACCGGTACTCTACTCTTGCACAATATAAAGTATAATAAAGCACCAAAACAGGGGAAAGTGTCCCCCTCACCCCATTCTTGAGAAAAAACCCCCACAAGTAATAACAATAATAAATTTTAATAATAAATGATATTTATATAGAGCTCAACCCTGATTAAAGTATACAGGCTCTGAGCAGTATAAATATATTATATACTTGTCAAATTGCAACAGATTTATATTTCAAGCCGGCATTCATAATACTTGTCCACGTCCTATTTTCAGAGAAAAGAGAGTTCAAATATAGAGAAACACATTGACAACATGATAGTTATTTAGAGGATGGGAAAAGGCAAGACAAACACATTGACACCATGATAGTTATTTAGAGGATGGGAAAAGGCAAGACGAATACTGGAAGAACAGTGGGAAAGAACGGACACAGGGCTACAAGTAGCGCCCTCTAACCATCTGAAGATTAAAAAAAAAAAATTATAGTAGAGGGTTTTACGGCGCTCGCAACTGCATAAGGTCATATGAGCGCCAAGGGGTGGGTGTCAATAGAGAAGTCTTTACAGGGAATCAGACTTATTCTGCTCACCTCTCTAGCTTCAACAGCACAGGGTCTACTTCGACTATCAAGGCACCCCGGAAATAGCGGGTCACAATAGAGTGACAAACATACAAAAGAAGTAGAGGAAAATGACAATAGTAAGGATTAGGAAAGAAAAGGCAGCAGTTCCCTGTTGTAGATCAGGCACAGTCATGAGCGTGACAGGATGAATCAGCCCATTTACAATTCTACTGTGCTTGAACGAGAAATGTCCCCCCCTTTGGGAATGGCCTAAAGACACTACAGTCTGTGGCACTGTCCCGGGGGGGTCCATCTGAAGAGTAAAGAGACTACACACTTACTATGGTGACAGTGAAAGGAGAATTGGAAGCATCTACAACTCAAGTGCATTCACCTTGTAAATGTTGCACAAAACACACGCCAGAGATAAATAATTCAAGTAAAAATACTTTTCATACCCTTTTCACAATATTTATACTGGGTAGATCTCAAGCAATCAGGAAATAATGATACTATTGACTCAAAGGAGGGACCGATGAAAACCAACAACTTACATGAGGTTTGATAAAAATTGGCAGTTGAATAAAAAATGACGGAAAGACGTATTCTTACAGCTGTAAGTAAGTGAAAAGTTTGACATAAGAGAACAAAACAAGAAATTCAGAAAACAAAATTCTCTCAGTGGAAAGAATACTGTTGAACAATACAGACCACATGAATGGCCAGTGTAGTTAAGTTCAAGCAGAACATGGCAAATAAATGGATTGCAAAATACAGGTGCATAAAAATATGAGTTTTTACGTCATTTACGACGATAAGTCACGCAAATGTTACAAATAAAAGGAAATAAAAATGTGTATTTTCACATTATTTATTATTTATTTATCCAACCTGACGGAACCGGACTTCAAGGGGAAAAAATTAGATTTTATGCAAATCCGATCAAAGTCCCCGGAGCGGCAAAATTTTATATATTTTTTAAAATCTCCAATTTTATCAGTGCTTCGCCAGGTCTGCTTAAGAGAAGAGGATTCAATAACCATTAACTTTCCCTTACAATGTTGGCCCTCTGGGAATGTGGTTCAGCTCTGAGGCATTGTGAACTGTGAGGACCATTTCCCCAGATGCACTACGTTGTTGTAGCAGTATTACTCAACGAGCAACGAAACTTAAGTACTCAACTTATCAAGAATGGAGAGTTCTGAGATTTTGACAAAACATATATTTCAAAATAAATTGTAAGCATTTTTACATCCCCTTTGGCACAATATGTGAGGCAGCGTGGTGGAATCAGGCTCTCGTCAAAATAATCAAAGTGAAGAAACTTGCATTTTTCCTCAGGTTTGTGAATTTTGTATAGAATTTTTGTTTTTCGGCTCAACACCTGTCATGTCCATTAGAGGACTCATTTCTGTGTGGATTTTTCTGAAAAACGTTGATTAAAGGCACAAAAAAAAAGTAAATTTTCAGTTATCACAGACTCTTAAGCTAAGGAAATAACTACTCTTTGACGGCCATTTTCTCACTAATTTTACCTCTGAAAACAGGTGACCCCCGCCTCCTTCTTTCGCAAAAAGCTCAACTTGTATTCAAGATAAATGGATATTTTTTCATCCAAATAAAGACAAGTGAACAAGCTTTATAATGAAACTAATAACTCTACATGCCCAAAAATTGACAAGAGCCTGATTCCACCATGCTGCCTCACATATAGAGCATTTGGGTGGCAGGCTGCTCCAAACCTACCTGTCAGGGCCTAGTTCGGCCGACTGGGATACAGTACCCTATCCATACGCCTGAAGTCATTTTGTATCCCGGGGTTGTATTCTTCACATTTTTAGAATGCTTCCAGTTCGAAGATCTCTTTGAAAATTTCAGAATTTCTCCATAAATCATTTTGACAGACTACTATGCAGAGCGTACAGATCAGATTAACTAGTAAATTTTCTCTTTGGAAAGTGGTGGTACAGAGTTCCCCGCGTCATATGGATCATCATCATCATCATTGCCTTTCTCACCCTGCACCAGGGTATAGGCCACGGACAAACACCCCCCACTTTTCTCTATCCTGGGCTAGCCTCTTGATGTTATTCCATGTCTTCCCACTTTTCTGTACATCGATTTCTGTGAATCTTCTCCAAGTTCCACGAGGTCTTCCCCTTGATCTCTTGCCCTGTGGGTTCCAATCCAAAACTTTCTTTGTTATGCAGCTGCCTGACTTCCCGAGAGTATGTCCAATCCATCGCCACCGCCTTCTTCCTACCTTCGCGTCATATGGATACGATTGTAAAACACGACGTACGGATAGGGTTAAGTGTTGGCAGAGAGTTCCCGCGTCATATGGATACGATTGTAAAACACGACATACGGATAGGGTTAAGTGTTGGCACAGAGTTCCCCGCGTCATATGGATACGATTGTAAAACACGACGTATGGATAAGGTTAAGTGGTGGCACAGAGTTCCCCGCGTCATATGGATACGATTGTAAAACACGACGTACGGATAGGGTTAAGCAGACAGATGGAGATGTTTTCTATAAAAGTTGCCCTCTTGGCCTCATGTCTTCCACGAGCAACAGCACAGCACATGCTAGCAACATGAAATAGAAAGCTGCCACGCAACTGAACTGAACCCCATCCACACACTAGAAATTAATTCTATGAGTTTTTTGGGTTTTTTTTTTTTATAGTAGAGGGGTTTTACGGCGCTCGCAACTGCATAAGGTCATATGAGTGCCAAGGGGTGGATGTCAACTGAGAAGTCTTTACAGGGAATCAGACTTATTCTGCTCACCTCTCTAGCTTCAACAGCACAAGGTCTGCTTCGACTAGCAAGGCACCCCGGAAATAGCAGGTCACAAGAGAGTGACAAACATACAAAAGACGTAGAGGAAAAATGACAATAGTAAGGATTAGGAAAGAAAAAGCAGCAGTTCCCTGTTGTAGATCAGGCACAGTTATGAGCGTGACAAGAATCAGCCCATTTACAATTCTACTATGCTTGAACGAGAAATGTCCCCTCTTTGGGGATGACACTACAGTCAGTGGCACTACCCCCGGGGGGCTTCTATGAAATTATCGCAAAGCCAAACCAGTACTGTACAAAGCATGATGACCAATACATGCTATACATAACGCAAAAACTGTAGAAGAACTTCAACAAATATGACTAGAACATTCCACAATTTGTACAATTACTTTCCTCTGACTTTTTTCCTTTATCAGTTATATACAAACTATACATTGTGCTCCTTTTATCCTTCCAAACATCTATAGTTTTATCTCTCCTCTCTTCCTTCTTTTCTTTGTATGTTACTCTCTAGTGACATCTCTAATCTCTGCACTTATATGGCCTATATTTGTTTTGCAAGCGTTGAAAAACTCTTACTACATGGAAAACAAAAAAAAAACCTCTAAAAAGAGCAGACTATCTTTACGCCATTATAAAGAAGCAAAAACTTGAACATTTTTATTCTTCTGTCAACTCTGTATGGTCATGAGAATCTTTTCAGAAAAGTTATTAATTTTTCTTAAACAGGCAATAGAAATATCATCCATGGAACTCAGGCACATCAATAAGAATTTTTAAAAAACAAGACCAAAACAATAGCTAGACTTTTGTTGTACAATTCGACATCCTGTGCTTGTTTAGAGATAGATTCTGATGACTCCCTGAAACAAAACATCAGCTCTACTAGTATACTGAATACAAAACTGTACTCTTCACATCAGATGGACACAAATCACTATACCATGCATAAAGCAGCCCTTGGCTACTTACCACATAATATATAGTTTTACACACAGAGTTTGTCAATCATAATTATTGTTAGGATTTTAGGCTTTATACACCCCCATCAAAAGAGCTTAGACCATTTGGTCACTTTTAAGTACAAGGGGGCTATTCCAAAAAATGTAGTTTTGAGAATATCGAAGGAAAAGTTTTCTGGACCCTTGTTCAGTTTCTTTAGAAGAAAAGGAGAGTTTCTCTATAGCCAAATGAATATACACACCAATGAAACCAAACTTCTCCTATAGGTAGGGCAATGCCCACTTTTGGTGTAGGAAAAGATTTCTGGAAACCCCCGCAATCTGGGTTAGGCGGCTTGTCCTTCAAAGCAACCATTATAATGTTGGCAGGCTGATTCTTTCCCACCAGTATGGGCCTATCTATGTTCAATGGAACACAATATCCCCGCAGAAAGACGGAGATAGGGAGATAAACTTCCCTATACTTGTGAATCGACATAACAACACCATATGCATTCAAGATGAGATAATTAATGGGCTTGCTCGAAATGTGGCAACCACTTCTCTGCCAGAATTGTGTCACATTGGCTAGAGCAGAAGCACTTGTAAGTCATCTTTTTATCTGTATTCGATCTATTTCTCTTTAATTACGAAACATTTTCCTCATCAGACACATTGTCATCTTCAGACCTTAACCGAAGAACTATTATAATAAAGAGTTTGTAGAGTGGTACAGGGTTGAGCATATGAATGTGTGGGGTGTGTCCATGCAAACATTTCTAACAACAGCCAATGGTTTAAAGTCATGGTTCCGAGACCGGTCCTTATCATTCCCTGTCGTTGAACAACTCCCCAGTCTTCCTTGACAGACTGCTATGACAAGAAACATACAACAATTCAGTCAACAATCAGGATATGAACACAGAAGACAAAATGCAACAAAAGTTAACAATAATCATAAAGGGGTTCTTCCCCCTACCAAAACTAAATGCAAAAAAAGATTCTGACCAGATATAAATTTGGTCAGGTTGGTAGATCTTTGCAGCTCATTAATCGTAGTGTAGTCCAGATTCTAATAACAAAATGGAGGGCATGAATCTAGCATTTGTGAGGATTGTGGAAAAGAACTTCATCAAACTAAATGTCACAAATGATGCCAATGTCGGCATTATTGGTACCGTGTAGTTTGGTGACCTTCTTGTCCACAGTTCTCCCAATTGCTGGATTCATCATTTGATATGTAACTCATCTACAGGTACGGAAACCTCCGATAGACTAGCAAGCTGGAAAGAGTTGTCCACAATTCTCCCAATTACTGGATTCATCATTTGATATGTAACTCATTTACATGTACGTAAACCTCCGATAGACTAGCTAGCTGGAAAGAGTTGAATAAACCCAAGAGCTAGGGATAACAGTAATACTTACAACAAAAACAGTGACATACTATGCACGTGAAAATACGTGAAAGCTGAGCACGGTCACAATGGTTAATCAACTTTCAAATTTAAATCAAATAAATTATGTATATTTAGAAAAATAAGGATTTTTTAGAACAGGTAGATTGAACCTTGTAACAAAAATGGTTCAGGGAAGAAGAGGTTAATATCTCTTCTCCTGTCTCAATGAGCACTGCTCATTGGACATGCATGGGAGTTGTAAAATGTGCAGAGTATTAAAAATGAGGCAAACAAACTTTGCTGGCAAACAGCTGTGACACCACCGTGATCCACAACGCCAGGACAAAGAAGATGTAGGAAATTCCAACGCGATAGTTGTTGGGCAGCTGATAGGCTTCACCCCCAATCTGGTCCATGTCAAAGCCGATGGGGAAGATAACAGCAGCCAGACAGAACAGGATCACTGAAAAAGAAAGAGAGAACAGATCATTAATTTGGTGAAATATACAACTGAAATTTTTGTGGAAAAAGTAACTCTGTCTTTAACAGGCAGATGTCTTGCTCAGTGTTATCATAATTTAAAAATAAAAGGAAGTGGGACATGGTCATTTGGACAGGAGGCTGTTAGAGCAGGTTCAATTGCAGTTGCTTCACTACTCTCTATATATAACTTATTTACACATATCACACCTCTACAGTAGCCAGTTTATATCATGACCATAGAATGGAACGGTAGAGTGTCACAGGCTAGATATATATATATATATATATCATTACACAAATAATATTACATACAGTCGAACCTGTGTAAGACGACCACCCATTGTCAAGGAGAAAAGTGGCCGTATTTATGTGGCCGTTTTAGACAGGACTGATCAAGATGAAGAAAACAAGCCATTCCTTTCTGAGAAAACAAACCCTCCCTTTCTCAGGTCCCAACCGAAGGTAGTTGCATTGTTGTTGTTGTTTTCGCTTGGTTTTCTTTTCTTTTGTTGCTGCTTTTGTGCACGGGTGACAATAAAACGAAATGTGTCAAACAAGGAGGACCAAGTGCTAGCCTGTGGTAAAACAAAAACACGAACTACCACTCGGAGAACAAACAACGCTTCTGTCACAAGTTCATGCTGATGTCCATTGTTACTTTGTTACAGACTGGGTAAACAGTGACCACTCATCTCACTTGCGATTTGTGTATGGGTTCTGGGCGGGGCTTATGGGTTATGAAGGATCACACGCTTCCCTCCCCAGCAGCTGAAAATTAATTTTGTTACCTATTGGTCAACAGTGGGAAGGGCCTACGCAACATGATCAGTTGGAGAGACTACCTAACAACGACAGGTCTTTGGATTATGACGGCTCGCCCGCAACTCCAGGGGCCAATGCTTGATTTATGACAAAGCGTAATGGAGTCACTAAGGTGGCCGTCTAAGACAGGTGTTATTGCTTTGTGTGATAGGGGTTGTGTGTTGAAATATGGTGGCCGCAGCCGCGTTGGACAGGTGCCCGTTTTACACAGTTAAATTATATAGAGAAAAAACGCAAGGGGGGAAATGGTAAGTGTCCGTTTGTACGGGTGGCCGTCTTATAGAGGTGACCGTCAGGGCAGGTTTTACTGTATTTCTAAGCAACAAATATTCTAGTCAGTGAGCAAAATCTTAAGCTGGAAAAATTGTATACACATGATGGAATCATTCTTTGATGAACATGAGCACCAACATAACCAGATCTTACTTTGTTTTTTAAGTAAAAGTAAGTGTCAAATCCCACTGTGACTCCAGATATCGTGCAATAGAAGCAGTTTTAAATGCGGGTGGTGGTGGGGGGCGGGGGGTAATTTTACTCTAACCGAAATCAGAAAACATGGAAAAACCAAACAAACCCACAAACAAACCCCCCCCCAAAACCCCCCCCCCCCCACCAAACCAAACAACAACAACAACAACAAAACAAACTTACTGGCGACAAATCCCAGCCATCTGGCAAACTTCATGACGCGATATTCCCAATAGGACAGCGCCAAGAGAACGATGGTTATGCTGATGCAGATGATCCCCAGTACAATGCAGATAAAGGCCAGTAGCCACTCCCCTCTCACAGGGCTGGGCATGAAGCAGATGGAAGGTCTTCCGTAGATTGTAAGACATGTCTTCAGTAAACCAATATTTGTGTCTCCTGAAACAAAAGAGAAGAGAAACAAACGTCAGTTAATACTGAGTGAAAGACACCAAAGATGAAAAATAGCGGTAGAGAAGTGAAAAAAACCCAGAGAACCAGAGCGAGACAGAATTGTAAACAGAAAACGAGAATCTGTGTACATTACTACAAAGCTGGAATGGATTTTACAAAACATTTGTAAATATTATAAGAGCTTTGAGAACTTTCTTTTCAATAGAAATGCACAATTATAAACTTTTAAGTGAAATTGTGTGGCATCGAGGTGAAGTCAGGCCTTTGAAAAATAATTTAAATCAAAGAAACCAACATTTTCCCCGACCGTTCAGCAATCTAATCTATAAGCCTTATTTTTCTTTCACTTTTTAATGTCTTTTTTTAACCTCCTTTCAAAACACATTTCTGTGTGTGTGTATTTTACTAAAAAAAAAAACCCACAAAAAATGTAGACCTAAGGCAAAAGCCAAAAAAATTTCCAATTAAAATATTTAATATAGTTTCAAGGGACACTGAAGCTTTGGAAGTCGCCAATCTTTGGTGGCCACTTTCTCCTAATTTTACTTGTGAAACCAGGCCACCCTCAGATGGGTATTTTTTTTTTATCTTGCAAAACAAATGAAAAAACTAAAAAATACTGGTGGTCATTAAAAATTCCTTTGCCCAAAAATTGATGAATGCCTGATTCCACAGCGGTATCATTACAATATGATTGCGTCGAGACACGAGTCAATTTATTATTAGTGCTCCTTCTAGTTACTATTTAATTACCGTTAATTATAAATTACCACACATCCAAACAAAGAATTTGCATGCTGTGTGTGATGCTATAAATAAAAAATTTTGAATCAGTATCAGACATACATGCATGCAAATATATGAGGATATATATTTTTATACTTTTACATAAATTCAGTATTCAGTCAAGGGATCTTTTAAGATGGCAAGGGCAAAGATGACAAAGAACAATTGCATGCATGAACATTTACATGAATCAAACCTGTGCGACTTTGTCATAGGTACTATAGTGAGTAAATTAATCATTTAGGTTGCAAACTGCCTTTGAAAAAAACAAAAAACTCTAGCTCTCTAGACCTAGAATCTACCTGTCAGACAAAGTACGATTTACGAAAGCTTACTTACCTCCAATTTCAGACACGATCCAGTGTGGCATGGCAAGACTCACAACAGCAAAGATGTCAGCAGCAAAAAACAGTGCACCCGAAATTATCGAAAGTTTATCCATTTTGACATGAAACACTTGCCTAATTTACTACAATAAATAAATTCTGGTGTTTTAGATCGATCCTCCTAAGATCCCTGTCTTTTAAAAAGTGTGTGCACCCATGTTTGGGGTGTCTGTAAAATCTAAATCTCACTCTGGACTTTTAAAACTCCCCAAAGTAAGTCCGTTCAATCAAGTTCAATGTTATGTTATTGGGTAGTCCTATTACTAAATCTAAATCTACATCTAAAATAGGCCTGGTGGCTTCTACTAAAAAATAAACAGTCAAGGGTCTAGGCCTACCTGTGCCTGTCCTAGTGCAGGCTACTCAGGCCAGGTTCTTATGACTTGACTTCGAGTAGAACTAGAAAATCTAGGTCTTTTAGACCAAAGTCTAAGCTTTCAAGTTCTAGATCTACACCTTAGATCTCTAAACTGTAGACTAAACAGCCAAGATTATAGAGAGCTTTTATCTCTCATCAGGACTCATATTTCATAATATAACAACCCTCTCCCCTCCCTCTTCTCTCTCTCTCTGTGTCTGTCTTGACTTTCGTCTTTGATTCACTTCTTGAGCTTAGTTTTTTTGGACTGGGTCACAAAGGAAGAAAGAACACTGTCTTTATGTAGATTATTTCCTCCACGACACAACTGCAACGTAAGAAACTGGGCACTTCCTCAATGCATCAATGCATACTAAACACTAGCAGTAGCACCTTGGCCTTACAACGACATGTCAACAAACAGTAGTAGGCCAGTGGCTCTCATTCTTCCCAGTTGTTCAACATCAACATCCTGGCTGCGATCGATGCGCGAGTCGTTCCATGAAGGCACTTCCGCTCTGGTTTTCGTTGCCAGGCGTTGTGTCCCTTTGGCTTATGCTGGACTGGAAATTCCCACAGTGTCAGGCAAGAATCCAACCAGATCTAACTGCCAACTGCTGAGTTCCTGAGACTTGGCCGCAGTTGGTTAGTTGTGGTAGGCCTAGTAGTGATAGCAAACATCAGCACCACAACACGTGAACTCCTAACACGGCACAGGAATCTATTCTTTCCAAGTTAGATTCAAAACAGTGTGTGCAGGTGGTCTTGGATTAATGAATTGTCAAGAATGAGGTATGTTCCGTTTTTTTGTAAATAACAATTTCTCTAGACAAGTGCAGCAGTGTTAATTTCTTCTTCTTCTTCTTCTTCTTCTTCTTCTTCTTCTTCTTCTTCTTCTTCTTCTTCTTCTTCTTCTTCTTCTTCTTCTTCTTCTTCTTCTTCTTCT